CCGAGCCAGAGCTGTGGATTCTTAAAGTAACACATGATTATCAAACCTGGGATGAGTCAGATTTTGCCCTACTTGCAGGCTAATGAATTAGCATACCATGGTTTTATGGATTCTGGCAGAAGTGAGACTCATAGATCAGATACAAAAGACGGTTTATACTCACAGCAATAGCAGTGGCCAAATTATCAGCATCTGCACTGGTTCCAGATCCACAATTCCTACAGGGCCCCCCAAAGAGGGCCACATGATACAACAGTACTCTGGGCTGTGCTCCGCATGCTGAGGGAACCCTTGTTTTTTTATAATGAGTAGTAAGCCTGCCTGCCTTTTGCTCTAGAGACAGACACTCTATCATCCAAGAGTGCTCACTATACAAACATCCTTGAATAGATAGTCTGGAACTTGGCAATGCAAGCCTATGTTCACAAGATGTAGGAAAATGTGAGAGGCTTTGGAGAATTGTATCCTAAGAATGAGCAGTTTCTTTTTTGTGCAGTTTTTTTTTTTTTGGCCCGGCCCGGGTTTGAATCCACCACCCCCAGTATATGGGGCTGGTGCCCTACTCCTTTGAGCCACAGGCCCCACCCAAATCAGCAGTTTCTTTAACTGGGCCTTGAACATTGAGACTTGCTACAGTGGTGATTTTTGTCTTTCTTCCCTTAGGGTATGTGTTACTGTTTTTTGGGTTTTTTTTTTTAAGAGTTTAGGACCAAAGAGGTACATGAACCTTTAGGTTTGAGGCAGCCACATGCAGGAAAGCAGGACTTGCAGAATGATGGGACCAAGTTTATAATTAGAATCCTCAGCTGGTTTTAAGCTTTAGTTTAGTTCTTGGGGCTGCCAGGTTGATGTGCCAGGGACATAGGAATGCTAGGACAGTGGTGTACCATGCACCAAAATAAAACACGCACACACACATACACATATATACACACGTATTTTTATTTCTTTTTTTGAGACAGAGTCTTGTTTTCTTGCCCAGGCTAGAGTGCTGTGGTGTCAGCCTACCCCACAGCAACCTCAATCTCCCTGGGCTCTAGAAATCCTCCTGCTCAGGTTCCCAGGTAGCTGAGATTACAGGTTCCTGCCATAGCACATGGCCAATCTTTTCTCTTTTTTATTTTTCCTTTCCCCTTTTTCTTCCCCTCCCTCCCCTCTCCCCTTCTCCTCCCTACCTTTCCCTCTTTCCCTTTCCTTTCCTTTCCTTTCCTTTCCTTCTTTCCTTTCTTCAGAGTCTCACTCTGTTGCCCCCGGGTAGAGTGCTGTGATGTCATCATAGTTCACAGCAAACTCAAATTCTTGAGCTCAAGCAATCCTCTTGCCTCAGCCTCAGGAGTAGCTGGGACTACAGAACATGTCACCACGCCAGGCTAATTTTTCTATTTTTAGTAGAGACAGGGGTCTCGATTTGCTCAGGCAGGTTTCAAACTTGTGAGCTCAAGCAATCCTCCCATTTCTTTGGCCTCCCAGAGTGCTAGGACTACAGGCATGAGCCAGGACTCCCAGCCCTCTTTTCTTTCTTTTTTTTTTTTGCAGTTTTTGGCCGGGGCTAGGTTTGAACCCACCACCTCTGGCATATGGAGCCAGCACTCTACTCCGTTGAGCCACAGGTGCCCCAGTGCTCTTTTTTAAGTGACAAGAGCACCTAGTCTTATTTTTATCAACACAGGTTTCTATCTTCCTATGACCTTGATGTTACAAGGGATGAAAATATAGTCTGGGGCCATGCTGTGTTTATAACCCATCTCTGGGGAAAAAATTGAAAAGCCCTGTTGTAGAGTGTTTCCACGTATAAATCCAATTCCACTACAGCCAATCTCCAGCTATCAACATGGCATCCTGGCACTTGGAGTTGGGAGAGGAGGGCCCAGTCCTGAGTGAGTGAGCCAGCCTCAGGCATTTGGGCCAGTGGGGCTGAAGCAGCAGGGAGGTGTGGTCTGGTTCCAAGTACCATGATAAAATGATAGCAGCTGTAATAGCTACATTTACTGCGTGCTCACCACATGGCAGATATTACTCTAAGGCCCGTATATCCATTATTATTCATTTTATAGATGACTAAAATGTGGAAGAGTGAACTATGCAGTAAATAGAGGTAGGATTCCATCCCAGGCAGTCTCATCCAGAGGTGGCTGTCTTGACGAGACCACTGGCTGCTGGGAGGCAATAACTTCTCTTTCAGTGTCACTATACATGGGTCATTTTGAAAGTTTTGAGATACACAACATTTAAGAAATGTAAGGTTGCTGTCTTGAGTACTAGACCACTGGCTGCTAGGAAGCAATAACTTGTCTTTCACTGTCAGTATACATGGGTCATTTTGAAAGTTTTGAGATACACAAAATTTTTTTTTTTTTTTGAGACGGAGCCTCAAGCTATCCCCCTGGGTAGAGTGCCATGGCATCACACTCACAGCAACCTCCAACTCCTGGGCTCAAGCGAGTCTCCTGCCTCAGCCTCCCAAGTAGCTGGGACTACAGGCGCCTGCCACAACGCCTGACCATTTTTTGGTTGCAGCCATCATTGTTGTTTGGCAGGCCCGGGCTGGGGATTCGAACCGGCCACCTTAGGTGTATGTGGCTGGTGCCTTAGCCGCTTGAGCCACAGGTGCTGAGCCAAGATACACAAAATTTAAGAAATGTAAAATTTGTGAAGATGGAAATAAATGAAGCCCTCCCAGTAACACCAATAAGTCGAGCAAGTTAAAACTTGTACTGGTAAGTCAGGACACTGTCGACTATTTTTTGGAAGTGAAATAATGGACCATAACAGTCTGTCTCAAAACTTTTGTAGTGACCTACTACTTACTCATACATTGTATGGTGAAAAAATCCTCATGAGGCTGTGAGGTGATTACTGCTGTTTTCTGATGGAGTTTGTATTGGTTTCTTCTTGCTACTGAAACAAATTATCACAACCTCAGTAGTTTAAAACATAAATTGGCCAGAGTGTGGTGGCTCATACCTGTAATCCCAGCACTCTGGGAGATCAAGGCAGGTGGATTGCTTGAGCTCAGGAGGTGGAGACCGACCTGAGCAAGAGCAAGACCTCATCTCTACTAAAATTAAAAAAAAGAACTAGCCATTTTTGTGGCACACACCTGTAGTCCCAGCTACTTGGGAGGCCAAGAGGATCTCTTGAGCCCAAGATTTTGAGGTTGCTATAAGCCATGACGCCATGGCACTGTACCCAGGGTAACAGAAAGAGACTCTTGTCTCAAAAACAACAAAACCCCATAAATTTATAGTTCTGGAGAAATGAGTGTTTCCGGCTAAAGTCAAGGTTGTCAGTAGAGCTGCATTCCTTCTAGAAGCACTAGGGCAGTGGTTCTCAACCTTCCTAAAGCTGCGACCCCTTTAATATAGTTCCTCATGTTGTGGTGACCCCCAACCATAAAATTACTTTCGTTGCTACTTCGTAACTATAATTTTGCTACAGTTATGAATCATAATGTAAATATCTGATATGCAGGATGGTCTTAGGTGACCCCTGTGAAAGGGTCGTTCAACCCCCAAAGGGGTCACGACCCACAGGTTGAGAATCCTTGCACTAGGGGGAACATCTATTTCTTGTCCCTCTTCAGCTTCTAGAGGTTACCCACATTTGTTGGCTTGTGGCTGCATCATTCTGATTCTCAGTCTTCCATTCAGTTGGAAAGATTCTTTTTTAAAGGCTTAGGAGACAGGCTGCAACTTAAATCCCCATTTTATTAAAGAAGAAGAAATGGGGCAGCGCTTGTGGCTCAAAGGAGTGAGGCGTTGGCCCCATATACCAGAAGTGGTGAGTTCAAACCCA